GAGGCAGGAGACTCGCTTGAGCCCCGGAGTTGGAGGTTGCTGTGAGCTGTGATGCCACAGCACTCTACCCAGGGGAACAGCTTGAGGCTCCTGTCTCAGAAAAAAAACAACAACAAAAAAAAAAAACGCTCAGGCCTAGGACAGATCTCCCAGGGCATGAGTCGCCCCCAAAGTGAGAGCATAATCCATGCAGAATTGACCACAGGGTTGGAGTCCTTGGCTGTCTTGCTGCAAGCTTTTCTGAATGGTGTCATGATTTAGAATTGATTTAAGGTCCAGGGACTGGCTGGAAAATCTCTGCTATGTAACAGCTGAGCTCGGGAACCTGTGTCACGTGCAAAGGCAGGACCACCCAGGGCACTTCTCAGGTGCCCTGGGTGAGCCCCTGGGATGGGCAGTGAGTCCAGACACTCCCCAGTTTGCTCACACAACGAATCACCTAGTAAAACGATGAAGAGAGATCAGGACAGGCGACAGGCTACAGCCCCTCTGTGCACAGTGCAGTTAATTTCCCAGCAGCAAGCACGAGAGACGCAGACTCCAAGCACAGCCGTGAAAGGCGACTCGGGAAGAAGTGGTGGGGTTTTGTGTTTTGGAGTAAAGAACATGGAATTTGTCTGTTTTTTCCTGTGAGCAGGAATACGAGGAAACTGTCCCTAAGGAACAGCTCTCAAAGGGAAGGTCTGACACCCAGAAAGGTGCTTAGTATGCTAACAAAATGCTGCCTAATGTGGCTTCAGAGCACTGATGGAACTGATAAAAGAAATCAGGCCACCCTGCTGTGCTGGGTCCCCCCTGCTGTGCAGAGCACAGGCAGCTAATCTGTTCCAGAGCTTGATGAAAAGGGGGAGTGGGCCACGTGGGCTGGCTGGGAACCGTCAAGGTTAGTGGCAGTCTGACCCTGCTACCAACTGGCTGATTTGAGTCAACTTTTGCCTTGTCATACCTAAAAAGCGGAGAGTTTGTAGCTGATTAATCACTTTGCAAATGTGATTTGCAGAAACCAAAGACGGACTATATGCTGTGGCGGAGACTCTGAGAAAATATTAGAGCAGGGTCTTTCAAAGCTTATACACTATGACTGGCACCAGGGACTGAGGGCCAGAGGCGGCAGCTCACTCCTGTAATCCCGGCAATTTGGGAGGCCGAGGTGGGAGGATCACTTGAGGCCAGGATTTTGAGATCACTTGGGACAATACAGTGAGACTCTGTCTTAACAAAGCGTACAAAAATTACCCAAGCATATAGTCCCAGCTGTTTGGGAGGGCTGAGGCAGAAGGATCAGGAGTTTAAGGCTACAGTGAGCAATGAGCTATGATGATGCTACTGCACTCTACTCTAGGTGATAGAGCAAGAAGAATAAATAAATAAAAAAGGACTAAGGGATGTCAGAACAAACACTTGGGCCAATGAATGTTTTGGGGAGGACAGCAGTAGCTGGACAGCTAGGTCACCATGAGAGTCTGGACCTAAGAACCCAATGGCTCAAATAGGCCAGTGTCCTGGTGGTGGGGGGAAACCTCCATGACTGAGTCTTGTGCAGACAGCATTTACGTTACGTTTAGTAAGCATTTATGCTTACTAAAGACATAGAAACACTGTTATCACCACTCCCTTATGGCTGGGATGGAAGGGAGAGGATTCCTGGACCTGTAGCAGGCAGCTGTTTGCCGGGACTGGTGGGTGGAGGTTTCACTCTGCCAGCCCTCCCCAGAGAGCAGGTGGCTGGTTATTGGGGATAGCTAATGTTAAAAGTATGCTTAACAAGAGACCTTGAACTATTAAGAGATTCTTCCTTATAGTCTATAATATAGACATATATTTCCATTTATTCAAAACTGTAGCCTGAGTGTGCTGGCCCGTCATTAAGAGATTCTTAATGCTCCCTTCCTTTATAATAAAACCCAACTCCCACCAAGAGAAAGGTACTTTATCTGAATTAAAAATAATTTCATATGCTTACATTCATCTACCCTCCCCACCATCAATTCAACGGTTTATTGAAATTATAAAAGCGTGTTGCTCTACAGAATCAGTGTAAAAGATATAAGTGAAATACCCAATCCCTGGCCTCGTAAGAAGGTGGTTATTGAATTTTATCTACATCATGATCTAGTAAGTTGTAGCCTTAACAAACATGATTCTCATATTATGGAAACCAACCAAGAACTCTGTACTTTCTATGGTCTCCCACCTGGACCGTTTCTCTCCCTCTCCCCCTCCCTATCTTCCCTCAAGTTGAATTTATTCAACCACAGAAATGATGTCAAATGAAACTCTGTAAACTTCAAACTTGACTTTTTCCCTTACAGAAAAAAGGCCATTGTAAGAAGTGGAAAACCTGTTTCTGGGTTTATTCTACTGAGATTACCAATTTCAAGAATTGAGACATACAGGATTATAATTGCTATTCATGATCCTAAAGTCAGTTCAGTAATGATCTCCCCATGGGGGAAAATAAAAATCACTTTGTGTGGAGGCTACAACCTCAACTTAGGACAGAGGGAAAGAGTTCCAGGAGTCATCCTGCATCCCAGTTACTGTAGAACAAACTATCCAACTTACCTTTGTCCTTTCACACAAAAGTAACTCAGTTTTACAGTTAAAAAAGTGATTCCACATGTATTTACTTTATCCTCATGGAAACTCTATACGGTAGGCATTTTTTCCATTGAAATAGATGAGAAAGGCTTGACCAGACTATCATTATCGGTTATTTGCCACAGTGTCTTAAATTCTACAAAAAGTTTTCATGCATATCATATCATTTTGAGTCTCACATCCCTCTGATATGGAGACGATATATAGCTATAACCCTCATTTTATATGAGCGAAAGTTCACATAGCTTGTAAGACGCACACTTGGGCCTCAACAGGGGCCTGGACAGTCGCTCACACACACACCACTGTACTGTCTATTGGCAAAGCTGAGCTGCAGTGTTGGGGGTGAGGGGTGGCTCTGGCTGTGCCAGCCATAGGAGTAGTTCTAATTAGTCTTAGAAAAGTAATAGAAAGAGGGGAAGGATCCTGGAAGTGGAATAAATGTTTATATAGGAAGATGAGTGGTAATTGCTCAAGTTCTCTAAACTCTCCTAAGTAGGGCTATCAGATAACACGACACCCATAGTGTCCCATGGAAGTCAGAGGAGGGGCCTATTCATAATAAAATATCATTTGTTGTTCATCTGAAATTCAAATTTAACTGGGTAGCCTGCATTTTCATTGGTTAAGCCTGGCAGGCCTACTTTGAAGGGAAGAGTAAGCCAGTCTTTTGCCCCTTACTCACATCACTGTGAAACAGCTACATCTATATTATGGTGACAATAATCCACCAACAGCAACTGTCATTAGAGACCTCGACTGAGATAACTTCCTATCCCCTCTCACTTGAGCAGTCTAAAGTTAGAACTGGAATAGATGTATTTCTAGAACTTTTGAATTCAGAAGGTTCTACAATGTACAATTGTTAGTTAAGGCTGGTTTCTGGCACTGAACAATAATGTGGTCCAGACTGTCCCTCTGTGGCACACTTTCCCCAGATGGCCTGAGAGTCCCACACCTAGCCCTGGTGCCATGCTTATCCCATCCCATTCTTTGAGTAGAAGAGTCACTTACTTGTATGGAATGTGTTTGCTGCCGTTGACAAGAGCCAGGATGACATTGCCCAGAGCAGACAGTGACAGGCACAGCCCTGCGCCTCCTTCCCGATTTTTGCTAAGAGCTTTCACACAGCTGCCGAGATCTATGAGATGCAGGCGGCTGCGACCTCCAGACACTACCACAGGAGAAAAGATACGAGAGGAGTGGTTAAGTTCTGACAAATACACATCTATTCTTCATGTAGCTCCTTGAGAAACCTTAAGAAAAAGGGGAAAGACTGAAGTTAAGGACCTATTAGGAAACCTTAACCATAAATAATCCTGGGGTTACAAAAGCATTGATCCTCTTAAATTCTGTCTATCACACATCACTGACCTTCTAAAGCAGGGGTGAGATGTCCAACCTGTGGCCTGCAGGCTACATGCAGATTATTTGAAGACTGTTTTGCTTTTCTGCGATGTCCAAGATTGCAAAAAGTATGCACAGATCTTATTTTCTTGCTCATCAGATTTCATTAGTGTCTGTGTATTTAGTGTGGCCCAAGACTATTCTTACTCTTCCAGTGTGTGGCAGAAAAGAAAATAGGTGGGACACTGAAGCCTACTGACGTTCATACTATGGAACAAATGAGTAATTCCTACAGGTTGAATTAGGTGAGATTTCAGAGAAGACACATGTATAATTAAAAGAGGACAAGGTTTGTACCTAATGTCCTTTGGATAACAGAATTCCGAATCTCATCAAGTTAAAACCCAAATGGCCCAGGGAAGAGTATCTGCTTTGGTTGACCATCACAGGGAACCCAACCTAAAGCTCAGCCAGAATTAGGTAGAAAAGCTGAGGTAAAAGCAGGAAGAAGTAAAAACCAGGTGCAGACACAGGGACGTCCCAGTTATTTGGCGAGTATCTGCCAAGTGCCAGGTGCTGCACAAACATTAGTCTCATTCAATTCCCCTATAGTAAAATCTTAAATGAAATACTGCTCTCCTTTTTTTTTTTATAGATGAGAAACCACCACATCAGAAAAGTAACTTGCTCATGAGTTCTGCTTCTCAGGTACAGAGAGACCAAAGTGGCAACACTGGAAAGGAAAGAGCTCTAGAGATTTGAAGGTTATTAAACTGAGTTTTAATTTTCTCAATTTTTCTTTGACGCATTGGTCATTCAAGAGCATGTTGTTTAATTTCCATGCATTTATACAGTTTCCAATGTTCCTCTTGCTACTGACTTCTAGTTTTATCCTGTTACAATCAGAAAAGATACTCAATATGTTTGTCTTTTTTGAATTTGTTGAGACTTGTTTTGTGGCCTATCATGTGGTCTGTTCTTGGAGAATGTTCCACGTACTGATGAAAAGAATGTGCATTCTGTAGCATTTGGATGAAATGTTCTGTAAATATTTGTTAGGTCTATTTACTCTACAGCTTAACTTTGAGGTTTCTTTGTTGATTTTCTGCCTAAATTATCTGATACATTGCCAAAAGTGGGCTGTTGAAGTCCTCTAATATTATTGTATCATAATCTATTCCTGTCAGATATATTAATATTTGCTTTATATATTTGGGTCCTCTGGTCTTGGGCACCTATATTTTTTATATTATCTTATTGAATTGACCTCTGTATCATTATATAATGATGTTGTTCCTCTTTGCAGTTTTTGACTGAAATTCTATTTAATTTGATATAAACACAGCTATTCCTGTTCTTTTTCAGTTTTTGTTTGCATTGAATACTTTTTTCATTTCTTTGCTTTTGGTTTAGGTGAGGTGAGTTTGTTGCAGGCGGCATATATTTGGGTCTATTCTTTTTTAATTCACGAGCTAATCCATGTCTTTTAATTGGAGAATTTAGTCCATTTACATTCAATATTATTAGCAGATAAGGCCCTTCTACTACCATTTTGTTACATTATGTATTTTATTCCATTACATCAAATGGACTATTAGCATCTGAAAGCCCAAACTGATCCACTGGGATAAGGTCATCCTGTTCAATAAACAGTGCTGGGAAAACTGGATATCCCTATGCAGAAGAATGAAACTAGACTGCTATCTCTTACCATGTACAAAAGCTAACGCAAAATGAGTTAAAGACTTAAATGTAAGGCCTGAAACAATACAAAAATGAGAAGAAAACCACATAAGGACAATGCTTCCCGACATTGATCTAGGTAGAAATTTTATTGCTAAGACTTTGAACACATAGGCAATGAAAACACAATTAGACAAATTGGATTATGGTAAATTAAAAGCTTCTGCACGATGAAGGAAACTAGCAAAAGAGTGAAGAGAAAACCTGTAGGATGTGAGGAAATACCCTGCAAAGGACTAATATCCAGAATACACGAGAAACTCAAATAACAGAAAAAAGAAAAAAAAA